TGAGACAACCCCCTCCTCGTGGGTACTCAGACCCTCCTTCACTTAGGGTGGACACGAGGCTTGCTGAGGGCCGCTGCTCAGAACATGCGCATGTCTGATAAGGGCCCCGCAAGGGCTCATTGCTCACAGTAATAATAATAATAATAATAATAAAACTATGTCCGTTGCACTCAAGGTCGGCAGTCGGCGGAGACCAGGTAGGTTTCTTTCTTTCTTTTCTCTTCGTCTCCTCTTCTTCTCTCTCCCAGTCCCTTTCTTTGTATCTATGTATCTGTTGCTGTCTGTATGTTTGTTTCTTTGTCTGCATGTCTATGTCTGTTCGTCCGTCTGCTCGTTCGTGCCTGTCTGTGCCTGTTGCTGTCTGTCGGTCTGTCTGTCTGTTAGTCTGTGTCTGTCTGTAAGTCTGTGTCTGTCTGTATGTTTGTGTCTTTTTAAATGTCTGTGTCTGTCTGTATGTCTGTGTCTTTCGTTGTCTTTATGTCTGCCTACCCGTCTGTATGTTTCTCTGCACGCAGGTACCCAGACTGAGCAGGACCAGGCGGAAGTTTGCAACTGTAAACAGTCCAGACCCTTAGTTGTGAGTCAATCTTTATGGCTGTGGGTAGGGGAACCGAGACCAGTCTTTCTATATTGTTTTGTCGCCGGCTTGATGCTGGCTGTGCGCTGGTACTGCGGACGACACCGGACTGTGGCAGCATGTTGGCGTTGTCTATCATGTGCGCCAGGCACTGCTGGTGCGGTGCATCCCACTGATCTACATTGCTGATGTCGCGCATGCCACCTGTCTACACTGTTTTTGTGGCGCAGTCCATCTGTCTGCCGTGCTGAAGTGGTGCTGCTGCCTATCTGCTCTGATGCTGTGGCCCCGACCATCAGTCTGCAGTGCTGATGTGGCACCGACCATCCATCTCTGGTGCTGTGGCACTACCACTTGTCTCCTGCTAACATGGCATAGGCCACGCTGTCTACATGCTGATGCGCGCAGGCTACTCGTTTCTGTTGCTGTAGCGTTCCCGCCTGTCTCTGCAGCTGATGTAACATTGGCCACGCTGTCTACAGTGCTGATGTGGCTCATGCCACCTGCCTCTACATCTGACGTGGCATGGTCACGCTGTCTACCTGCTGATGTGGCGCATGCCACTTGTCCATACTGCTGCTGTGGCCTGCCACTCTGTCGACATTTACTGATGTGGCACAGGGCACCTATCGACATTGCTGATGTGGCGCAGACCACTTATCTTCACTGTTGATGTGACGCAGGCCACTTGTCTGCACTGTTGATGTGGCGCAGGTCACCTGCTGATGTGGCGTTGTCGCCCGTCTCTACTGTCTACGTGGCATTTGGCCACGCTGTTTACAGCGCTGTTGTGCCAATGATCTACACTGCCTTTTTCGTCTACTGGTTACGAGACATTATATCAGATATCACTTCCACGGTTACTGAAGATACTGCACAGATCTGAGTCTACCTGTACTACGACATCTAACAAGTAACTTTCTGTCTGGGTTTTTCACAACAATCAACAACAACAACAATAATAATAATAATAATAATAATAATAATAATAATAATAATAATAATAATAATAATAAGATCACCATCAATGATGCAAGGAAGATGAGTGTGAACGATATACAGAAAACCGAGTTGCGAAATCACACAGATGTCGAAGTAGTCGTGTTCAAGCAGAGAATGCAAATGCACCGATAAACCATTCATAACATAGGATTCGTGAAAACCTAACGAAACAAATTGTTAGGTTTACACGAAATCTATTCAAGATTATGATAGAATGTTTTTCAGGTCTCCTCCAGGAACAAAATTCTACGTGAAGTGAAACATCCGCAAAAAAAAGAACAAAAAATTTATTTTTCTGAACTACTGGAGGGGGCGAGGAAAAAAGCGGGTTTTTTCGTAGAAAATCCTGACCTGGTGAAGCACCGTAGGTTCAAAAACTGAAATATCCTGATTTTTTGTTATCCAAAAAAATTGTGTTTATAGTCVTATAAGATGTGTAGCAAAATGAATTTATTCGGGGGTTTTTCGAACATGCAAACATATTCTCCTATTCGTGAATACGTTCGCTTGAACATGGTTTCCCATACATGGGCGAATATATATATATATATTTTTTGTTTTAATTTTTTCCCCTATATTTTTATTTTAAACTCGTGTTTGGTTAAGAATTTCAAGGTGTCTCCGAGGCAAAAGTTGTTTGTATTCTTATTTTAAATGACATATATTTTTTGATAAGGGTTTTATTGTTAAGTTCAAAAGTGATTTATAGTCTTATAAATTATTTTGTGCAAAGCTTGACTTTTACCTAACTGCGGAAACTGACTTATAGTCCTATAAATGAGTATTTACCAAAACACGTTTTATTTTACATCTTTCAAGTCTGCCTTGTCATCCTTAAAAATTACCCTATTTGAACTCTGGTTTTTTGCCAATCTACTGAGAATGACTTATAGTCATATAAAAACATTTTGCAAAGAAGGGTTTTCTTGCACATTTTGAGGAACGCTAGACTTTTCACCTGATTTTTTGCCTCCTTTATCGCAAAACGATTAGAAACGCTATCTTTTTGTATAAAAAATAACAGTTTGACTTTTACTTTTTCATTCTATAAGAAATGTTAGGTTTTCTTCGATTGTGAGGTTTCCCCTGTTTCATATAGAGCAATACAATGAAGTAATGAGTCAATGTCCAAGCCCGTAAGCCACACCAGCACAGTATCCAAAGTTGCTCTTTCTCTGTTTCTCTCACTCTCTCTCTCTCTCTCTCTCTCTCTCTCTCTCTCTCTCTCTCTTGTTTGTCTATCTGTTTGTCTGTTTCTTTCTGTGTATGTACCTGTTTGTGCCTTTGTCTGTCTGTCTCTCCCTCTCTTTTCTTTACTTCCTCTCATTTTTCTCATCGTTTTTTCTCCTTCTTCTCCCTCTTTTCTTTCTTCCACTTCTCCTTCTCCCTTTCTCTGCATGTTTCCTCCCTTTATTTTAGATGATGAAGTTCAATGAACTTTTCACAGCACCCCCGACAACAAACCCCCGAGACTACCGCGGTCCAGACACTTCATCGGACCATTTCAATCGGTAGGAACAACAGGTGGTGTGTCCAAAGGGCAGGGACGTAATCAGTATGAACTGATTACTCTACTGCGATACGTATGAGCAAGAATGATATACAAAAAGCCAAGTTGCGTAATCACACAGATGTTCAAGTAGTAGTGTACAGGCAGAGAGCACAAATGCACCGAGGAACCATCCATATCGAGCAATACAATAAAGTAGTGAGTCAGTGTTCAAGCCCGTAGGCCATACCATCACAATATCCAAAGTCGATTTTCTCAGTCCGGCGCCTAGTGCCCAGCCTGCTCCAGCCGACTATCCTTCCTACGGCTGGTTCATGCAACAGGCCCACTTCGACCCTCGAAGCCCAATGTAAATGACTGTCAAAACCATAGCCGACCTCTCTTCATGTACCAGGTATGTATCTCGTCACCCTCAATCAGACCTTTGATGACCCCACTCTCGCCTTCTTCCCTGAAGACCACCAGATCGCCTGTCTTCTCCCCGGTCCAACCGGTGCCGGACCGGTCCAGAGGGGGTGAACTGGCAAAACCGGATGCCCCAAAAAAATGCCCAGAATTTTTTTATTTATTTTTTTGATTGCGGCATCCAGCTGCGCTCCTTGAGATCTGTCGGAATCCGCATTAAAACTTGAAAGTCAGGAATTTTTTTTTTTTTTTTTTTGGGGGGGGGGGGGGGGGTGCTGGGGGGGGTTATGGTGCAGGCCCTGCAGGGTGCATTTCATGGGTGTGCAGACCTGTAAGCAGCAGCATACATACCTTATGGAAGATGAGGTAGACGACAGTATGGGGTGGAAGAATGCAAATAAGAAAAGGGTAAAGAAGAAGAAGAAGAAGAAGAAAGATAAAATAGATAAAGGGCAGACAATTTAACAGCCGCGGCTCAACACCCGATTCAAAGTTTCTTCAAGTCAAAGTTGTCAAACATCTGCAGCAGTTCCAGATCTCTCTCTCTCTCTCTCTCTCTCTCTCTCTCTCTCTCTCTCTCTCTCTCTCTCTCTCTCATTCGGAATCCCTTTCACTCATCTTGTTGTCGGACGAGTACGCATTGCCCTCATCCGAGTCAGGGTCATCCTCCTCCACTCGCAATTTGCGGGCCCTGCCGGGGGGCCCGGGACAATTTTTTTTTTTTTTTTTGCAACATCATCCCCCGACTTAGCCTTGCGGGGCCTCCCACGACCACGGCGTGGCTTTTCCGGGTGTTCGTCGACCGGAGCTTTCCTCTTTCGCCCTGCCTTACTTTTCCAAAGGTTGTCATGCTGCACAACCTCATTCTGTGTAGGGTAGGCGGGTCTGCCGGTGTGGTGTGCCACTGCAGGCACTAGTGTTTGGACTTCCTGTTGTTCCGGCTGTTTCTCTGGCGGTGCAGGCTGTTGCGGTGCATGTGCCCGGGGTCTTCGTGCATACACCATGGCTGGCAGTTGCTGCGACTCCTCTCCTTGTCGCTGCATATTCTCTTCGGCATGTTCCAACAGCTCGACTCCCTCCTGGTGCTGATTTTTTTCCTCTTGGTGTTGCTGGGGCTGCTCTCCGTGGGGCTCCTCTCCCTCTTGCTGCATATTTCCATTTTCTTGCTGCTGATCTTTTTCTTTCTGATGCTCCTTCTCCGGCTCGCTGATCTGTTTGCTTTGTCTCTCTCTCTCCCTCTTGGTGGGGATAGCAGCACGCCGAGCCTCCTCCTCAAGCATCTGCATCTGAACAAGGGCAGCATCTCTATCTGCCATAGCCTTTGCCCGATCTGCTTCGTCCTCGTCCGCATCACGGTCACCATCAGGGACATGGAGCATCAAGAACTCGATTTCCATGTCAATTCTCTCCACGGGTTCTGAAGGCTGCACCTCTGCCTCCTTCTCTCGCCTCCCACGCATCCGACCGACGTAAGTTGTGGCTGGCACCGCTGGCACAACCCCCAACTCGAAGTCGGAGTCCTCACCAATATCATCCTCACCACTGCTCTCTTCCGAAGTAGACTCATTCCAACATTTCCCCTACCATATCAGATCCTCAAGCTCGCTGCTCCCGCTTGAGTCTTCATCCAACAGGTTGCGGGGAATCCGTCCTTTCGGAGCCTTCTTCAACCTCTTTTGCCTCTTTTCCTCCTCCCCTTCGTCCACCGTCTTCTCCGTTGTTCCATCGTCGAGAGATTGGTCCTCCTCTGTCGGCTCCATCAATGGCTCGAAGAAGGACCCCCATATATCCACGTAGCCATTGTCCTTGCTCGTTCGAACACGAAGCAACTGCATGTTCCAATGAATGTACACAAGTTTCTCCAGGGACACCGGTGAGAGGTTGTTCCTCCTCTTTGAGTGGACAAAGTCCATCGATGCCCAGTTCCGCTCCGCAGATGTTGCTGTGCTCCACATTCCCAGCACTGTGATGGCGATCGCCTGGAAATCCGGAACATCTCCACCATGCAACGACCACCAATCCGCCGGAGCACGTTCTGTGGCTGCCGTTCTAGCAAGAGGGGTCCACATATGCTTATCTTTCCTGACTTCACCTTCCACAGGCTCTCTCAAGAACTCACACAGATACCCCCACATGTCAATATGTTTTTGTGAATCCCATGTCCCCCCAATCTGCCTCAGCAAGAAACGCATTGCATTTTGCACGAGGGCACTGTCTGGATCGTTGAGCCAGCCAGGCTGTCTCCTTCGTGGATCCAAAAGAAAGGCAGCTGCATGTGCTGGCTGCCGCATCATCTGCACGTGGTCCTTCACCTTCGCCACCACGTCTTCGCGCTCTTTTTTCGTGAGCACGACATTTGTCAATCTCCGTGCAATGAGATCGTCGTACTCCACGAGGTTGGTGGGAGATACTCCTTCCTTGTCCATTCTCTTGAGGAGGCTGAACACCGGCTCCATGATGGCCACAATTTTCTTCACCTTATCCCACCAACTGTCACACCTCACTGAGTAATAGACGAGGTCGGCCTTCCTTTGCAGCTTTGCCGAGGACCACCTCAGTGCCCTGCATCTCGCACCATAATCCCCATCCACCATATCCTTCAGCACGTCCTCCCTGTTAACCAACCTACCCAGCATCTGATACACAGACCTGAACCGGACCTCTGTTGGACGCAACAATGACAAGGAGTTGTCGATAGCCATCATGAGGCCGTGCGTAGAGTGGTGGTTCCTTATGAATTTGACAATCGTGTTTGCCGTCTTCACCGTGTCCGTCACCCATGGCAAATTGCTCAAGTCCTTCAGCAAGAAACTGCAACAGTGCGCTCCGCATGGCACCCACGGTATCTTCGCGACATCTTTGTTGGTCCGCCTCTCTAAGATCTGAGCCGCCTTCTTGTTGACCTCCGCATTGTCTGTACATATCGCGTTGATCCGCTCAAGCCCTATCTCACGCATCACCTGCTCCCATAACTTTGCCAATGCTGCTGCGTTCTTCTTCCTCCCCGTCATGTACACTGTCGTGACCAGAACTGCTCCTTTCTCCCCCGYTGCAAGGAAATTCATCACCGGTCGGTTCTTGCGATCTGTGGACCCGTCGSTGATGAATGTGCAGCCGGTTGTGTCCCAACATGCAGTCATGRGGTTGATTGCTTTCTGCACCTTCAGGTAGATGTAATCAACCATGACAGTCCGCATGTGTTTGTAGGAAGGCAACTTGACCTTTGGCCTTGCACTTGCAACCTTCAGGTATGTTTCGTGTAGAGCTTGCATGGTGGCGAAGTTTAGGAAGTTGAAAGGAATGCCCGCCCTGAACATTGCCTCCGCCCAGGCAATGTCCAACTCCCTCTGAGCTTGATTGTTGAGCCACTTCTTGATTGTGGTCTGCTTCGCCATGACAGGTTTGACAGTGCCCCGCGCTTCACCGGTCTTCTCATCACCCTTCTCCCCATCCCCACTTTCCGTGGCAAGAGTGTGTGCAATTAGCCGTGGAGCAGACCGCCCCGGGAGAGGTGGCGACATCGGCTCAGACAAGGGATCCTCAGCATCAGATCCACTCTCCACATGCTCCTCACCCCCCTCTGGACACCTGGCTAGTCCCCTAGCATTCTTCAACAAGTACTTAGTTTTCTTGTCGCTCGGCTTTACCTTGCCACGCTGGTTGGTCACAAGCTCATCGACAATCTCCCCCGTCCGAAAAGGACATAGTTTTTGCGGCTTCAGGAAATGATGAACCGCCTTGGACGATGAGCCCCTGAAGACGGTGGAGCACAGGCGACACCTGAGCCAATACTCCCCACGGCCTGCCGACAATGCCACTTGTCCCTGTTCAATCCACTGCCACACTGAACTCCTCTTTAGCAACTTCTGATGTGCGTCAGCATCTTGGGGTTGAAAGAGAGCAGGGTCAGTGCCTGGTGTTGCGTCCTTGTTGACGGTCGTTGTAGTTGATTGCACTGTCTGGCTCGAGGAAGGCTTGTCAGCAACATCTGGCACCTGACCTTTCCCCTTGTCTGCATCAGCAGTGCCCCGCCTGTGCCTCGATGGTCCAACCCCGCCACTGCCGTCACCTGCCATGCTGTTGCCCGCAATGATGTGGAGGAAAAAAAAAAGATGAAGTGTGGGAGGCTGTGGCTACGGGACACCTTAAGTTTGGCTATGGGGGTGAAGAAGAAGAAGAAAAAGAAGAAGTTGATATCTAAGATGCGAAAAAATAAAAAGAAAAAAAGCTATGGATGGGTCAGCCTCAGCGGGGAGGGAAGGACAGGAGGAGGGCGAGGAGGTGCAGAGAATAAGATAAAGATTTAAGATGACGAAAAAAAAACCCTCTGGCTATGGCTCTGGCCCAGCGGGGGACAAAGGAGATGAGGAGGAGGGGGAGGAGGAGGAGGAGGAGGAGGAGAAGAAGAAGAAAAAGAAGAAGAAGAAGAATGCTGACAAGGCTTGGCAATGGCTCAGCGGGGGCAAAGCAGAGGAGGAGGGGTAGGAGGAGGAGGAGGAGAAGAAGAAGAAGAAGAAGAATAAATTAAATATGGCAAAAAAAATTGCTAATGAATCAGTAATGATTGACTCTGGCTCAGCAGGGAACAAACGAGATGAGGAGAAGAAGAAGAAGAAGAAGAAGAAGAAGAAGAAGAAGAAATTAAAGACGACAAAAAAAAAATGTTATGCCTATTGATCTGGCTCAACGGGGAGGGAAGGCCAGAAGGAGGGGGAGGAGGGGGAGAAGAAGAAGAAGATTTAAGATGAAAAAAAAAAAACTTGTGGCGACGGCTATGGCTCAGTGGGGAACAAAGGAGATGAGGAGGAGGAGAAGTAGGAGGAGGAAGAGGAGGAGGAGAAGTAGGAGGAGGAAGAGGAGGAGGAGGAGGAGGAGGAGAAGAAGAAGAAGAAGAAGAAGAAGAAGAAGAAGAAGAAGAAGAAGAAATTAAAGATGGCAAAAAAAAATCGTTATGCCTATGGATCTGGCTCAACAGGAAGGGAAGGACAGGAGGAGGGGGAGGAGGGGGAGGAGGTGGAGGAGAAGAAAAAGATTTATGATGAAAAAAAAGAGCTTCTGGCTATGACTATGGCTCAGCAGGGAGCGAAGGAGTTGAGGAGGAGAAGAAGTAGGAGAAGGAGAAGACAAACAAGATGGAGAAGAGGAAATTAACGATGGGAAAAAAAAAAAACACGCCATGTTTATGCCTATGCCTCAGCCGGGGAGAAGGAGAGGGGTGGACGAAGAAGAAGGAGAAGAAGAAGAAGAAGAAGAAGAAGAAAAAAGGAGGGGGAGGAGGAGGAAGGGGGAGCAGGAATCTCTGTCTCTCTCTCTCTCTCTCTCCCCCTCCCTCCCTCCCTCTCTCTTTCCCTCCCTCTCTCTCTCTCTCTCTCTCTCTCTCTCTCTC